ATTTAAAGTCTCAAGCACATGTCCTCAGCTGTTGCAAAATTATGCCACTAAGTGCAATAGGGTCTGTCCTTTTACATCAGCTGAGAATCTACTTGTCATGGCAAAATAAGTGGATGCAGCTGCAGTTCTCTTCCTTGGGAGTTGTCCCTTGTACACAACTGATTGCAGGTGGCTGAGAGTTGGTATTTAAAAAGGACAAGTTTTGGGGGGGGTATTTCTGTTTTGTTTTGGGGTTTTTTTGGTTTTTTTAAAATGTATCTGGTGAAATTCATTCATGTGCTCTCCCTCATGGCTGCGTAGAGCCTGTAACCCATCATACCCCAACTCAGAGGAAAGGACATGGATGGAGCTAGCTTAGAAAACAGATTACCAGATCATAAATGAAATGTTGTCTCTCATGCCCTATCATGTGGCAGAAGAAAGATAAAATTGAAAATGTGACCCCCTTTTTCTTCAAATAATACAGTGCTGTTCAACAGACTTAATTATCCCTAAAGTCACATCTAATAATTGTTGGCATGTCAATCAAAACCCTTATTAGACATGCACATGACATCACATCACAGTCTAACAAATATTCCTGCCAGTCAGAAACCTTTATATAGATTAATCTGATTTCAGAGGCAAGTTTTGTGTCTGACCGTTTACCCAACTTCTTCAGAGCTGAAAGCAGAGAGGAGGTGAATGTTTTCTGTGTGATGCTGAGCTGGAATGATGGGATCTGGGCTGTCCCTGAGAGTTTGCCTCCTGGCCACGCTCTGCTTTATGCTGCAGCATGGAACCTGGAAAGGGGCTCTGCCTTGGATGGCTGAGTGACCTGGGGTGGATCTGGAAGTGTTCAAGGCCAGGTTGGACATGGCTTTGAGCAACCTGGTCTAGTGGAAGGTGTCCCTGCCTTTCACCTGGCTGCTTGGGATATCATGAAGCTGTGCTTCACTGGGGTACCTGCACTGGGCTTTGAGATGATACAGACCATCCCATGCACACTGTGTACACCCACCACGTTACTGTGGCCATGCACCCATGGCAGTGATTGCTGTGGTGGGGTTGACCCTGGAGGCTTTGCCCCAGGAGGAAATATCTGCTTCACTAAGGGAAAAGCGTGCATGCCTGAACAGAGCAGGCACTGCACTGACAGCCCAGGGAGTTTGCCAGCCTGTGTGTCAGGGTGCCAAGAATGAGAAGTAAATGCACTAATAACCATCAGGATTTAAAAGGCAAACCCGTCTAGAATTTCCCAGACCAAACAGGCAGCCACATCAAACTCCTGTACTGTTGTGCCACCCTGAGCAGCTCTGGGCTGTGTCACACGTTGCATGTGCTGCTCTGCACCTGTCCAGCAGTTGTGACAGGCTTTGGAGATGCTGGATTTCCTTTGCTAGTGAGTGCACGTTAACATAGATACTCCATGTATTCAAGTCATCCCTGCAAGTGCAGCACCAGATTTGTGTCCATAAATATAAAACCATCACTGGCAATAACTTCCAATTCTTTCTCAAATGGCATTTGGTGGAAAGCAATTAATGACATTTTTGGCTGCTCTTCTGTAGGGATCTCCTAGTGTCACTTCTCTCCCCCTTCCCACAATTCCAAGCAACTTTGTTTCTCATCTTTACCAGGAGGAACTGATGTTGTAGGATGATGATAATCCCATTGCGCTTGATACCATATACACCGCTGTAGAGTGAAAAAGGTGGTGCCTTCCTAGTGGATCTGGCTAGTAAGTCAGAGCTTGGAGGGACAGCTCCATCGCAAACCACTTGTCATCACGGTAGTGTCATACACAGCTCTTCGATAACCATAGGTTATAAATTTATTTACCGATAGTGCGTCAAGCTTTGTGTAGCCAGTTGCACTGGCACTTCAAGTCTCTTTTGAACTGAAATAAAAGTAAATGGCAGAGGTTGAAGCTTTCAAGATAATATCATTTATCTTCTGAAAATCTCCTTTTTAGATGTCAGGCAAAACGTCACAATAGCTAGAAAAGATCTTGTCTGGCATCACTATATTTTTATTGGTCTTTAATGTAACTTGAAAATATTAGGCCATATTGTGGTGTTCAATTTTCTATTGATTTTTCAGACAGTCTGATAACACAAATGAAAAAAATGCCTTTAATTAGACATCATTCCTAAAACTGATAGACTTTTGCGAAAGCCACATAGCAAGCTTCCTCTGCAAGTAAAACTTCAAAGTGCTTCCTAGATTCATGAACTACAGGCAAACTCGAAGTCAGCAGGGAAAGTGTCAGTAAACAGTGAGAAAAAAATACTGCCTTCATGTTTGAAGGAGAATTTTTCCCTTCTGGAAGAAGCTGAAAACCAAATGTTCACATCTGCATGACAAAGTGGCCATAGTGAGGTTGGCTGTGCAAGCACTCTCTTGCACAGACAGTGTAAGTGGCTTCAATGCAGTTCTCCTTCCTGAGGATTACTTCAGAAAAGATGATTGCTCACAGCTTTTTCTGGTTCAGAGGCAATTCAAAACTTCCAGGTGATCGTCAGGTATCTTCCTTGGAAGCGGTGTCTACTAATGCAGCACTAGCTGGCTTCTGTGAGAGAGGGACAGCAGAGGAATGACCCACTGGTGAAGTAGGTCAGCCCACAGTTAGCCCAAGATTAGGATGGCAAGTCTCTTACCCCAGGACCCCAAATTGTGCCAAGGCTTTGTGTTTTTAAGCATCTGAATGTGCTTTATAGCATTTTCCTCCTTTTCTGCTTGTTCTCCAGTCTTTGTGCAAGAAGTTTTCTTCTTTAAAGCTGATAGAATTTAACAGCTGTCCTTGCAGTTAAAACAGCAATAAGAAAAATCTAAGCAGCCAAGGCAAAAAGGGTGATCTATAAGGTTTTAAAAAACTTTTGTTGGAATAAAGATCATTTGAGTCATTCTCCTCTGATTCACTCATAGCTTGTGTGCAAGCAAGCCCCTTCCACAGAGGAATTAGGCTGCACTCAATCCCTAGTAAATTCAGCTGATGAGATGGCTCTGCTGACCCTCTCCATCACAGCAGCAGCTCTCGCTGCCTGACCCCGGGGCATGTTGCTGCCACCAGCTGTGACTTAGCGTAATTCTTCTCAGCACATGGGTTGCTATGTGTCATGGGGTTCATCAGGGATGAGCAGAGGGTTTATGAACTTTCTGGAGCTTGTTTCCAAAAAGCCTCTTGCTCAAAAGTCATAATAAAGAAACTGGTCCTTACTGGGACAGTCTTATTCCTTTTAGCTTGGGGTTGAAGCTTTAAGCTGCTCTTCTCTCCCTTCCCCTTGGAGGAGGGGGACAGGCTTGGAGACCACAAACAGTCTGCAGGACCTATGGGGAACCGTAAAAGCAGCCTTTTTCTGGCTGATACTCCTGCCATCCTGGTCCAACAACTTGTCATGCCATGAGGTGCATGACATTTCAGGGGGCAAAAAGTTGTGCAATTGTTGTCAGTTTTACTTTAATACTTTTTGCTGTGTTCCCCTAGCAGATCTGCGAATCCTCTATAACTTCTGTCACCAAAGAGATAAAGCGGCAGCACATTGTGGTTCTGCCACCATCTCAAAATCTCCTTTTTTCTAGGATAACATCATTTGGTGGTGGCCCCTTTCTTAGGATGATGTCTGCCCCTTGTTATATTTATTAGACTCTATAGAATCCCCTTCCTATAATGAACTACCTCTTCTTAATGATATATAATTTTATACAAATATTATAGTCTTTACTGAATGATGTCCAGTGGTCTGGGGAGGAGACACAAGCGAAAAGCATTCTTCAAATGTTGCCTAGCAGGACACATCTTCATTAAGGGGTGTTTTTTTATTAACCTCTTACACAAACAGAAAAACTTCATTTAATTTGGATGTCTTTTATTATAGTTTGAAGTTACCAACAAAATAACAAGGAACAAAGAGAGCTCTCCATGCAAGAAAAAAGCCACGACACCCTGCCACTGAGGATTTGCAGGGCTTTGGAAGTATGCTTAGTTCAAACAGGAGTGTAGAAGTACTCTTAATGCAACCCAAGAGCAGGTTAGCACTGAAAGGGATTGTCCTACTCTCTCCATGCCTGGCCATGGGGTCCTACTGCTCCTTTTGCACCTCTTCCATGCAGTGGGTTGGATCAGTGTGAGATGAAATCATTGTTCCATAAGATGACTCCCATTACAAAGCTGTACCCAGGATCCTGTCATTAAATCCCCCACAAGTGGTCCTCTAAAAGCTGTCCTCTTAAGGGTGCCAGAATAGTGAAAACAGAAGGCATTTACATTTTCCCTGGAGACCCAGTCCTTCCATCAGCCCTCAGATCACTTTGCTGACTAAATCTTCTATGTATTTGAATGATTTACCATATGAATAACTTCATTTATGCCAAATGAAGAGGTGGACTGCTGGGATGTAGTAATGCCAACACAACAAAATTGAAGCTGGGGAGGTGGGGGAAATGAACCTATAACAATGGCAAGTGGTACTGTCTGCTCAGGCGGCAGCAGACAGCTGTGAAGACGTCCGAAATATGAGAGTGTGGGAAGGTACAGAGCAGCATCTAAAAAGGGTTGTAGAATAAGCAGAGCTGAGCAAAAAACAAGCTGCTCTTTTTGAGCTGCAAAAATATGGTTGTTACAGAATGACTGAAAACTAAATTGCAAGTTTGATGTCTCATTCCAAATTTTCCAATTCAGAAAGTACCTGCACCTTTTACTTCCCACTGACATTTAAGAAATAGAAGGATCAGCTCCTGCCAAATGATCTGCCACCCTAAATCCTTGACCTGGGCAACTGATGAATGCATGTTACAGATGCATGCAGTGCAAAGACTGAAAATATTAAAAGCCAGACCTCAAGTGGTGTAAACTGGCTTTGGCCCAGCTTACACCAGCTGCTGATCTGCTCCGTAAGTATCTTACAGCAGTAACAGCTGGAGAGATGATGGTTTGCATTCACTAAACGCTGATGAGGGCTACCTAACTAGGCATGTTTTGCTCGCATTTGTGGCTGGGAGATTGACTGTATTGAGCATTTTTAAAATCCCTCTTTCTTTAGCTGTTCTTCGAAGAAATCATTACATGCCACAGTCAAAGCAGCAACCAGAATGACAAATTCATTAAAATCCACTTCATTGTCTTTATTGGAGTCCAGATCTTTCATAATCTTATCAACCAGAAGGGGGTCCTTTTGGCCCTAAAGAGAAAGAAGAGTGACTTAGTTGTGCAGATCTTGAATGCGTAATGCTGACACACTCGGCGGTGCAACCCACTGCTATGTCACAAGCCCCGGTGCTATTAAATAAAAGGCTGCATGAAATATGCACCTGAATAGTAATACACCAATAGCCACAGCATTAAAAACATAGGTCTGGGGTCCCAAAAGTGCACAGCAACTGAAACTGAAGACAGAGCAGCTCTTAGAAAGAATACAGGTACTAAATAGGCACTGAAATGAATCAGGAGCTACTGAGAACTGATTTATTTTGACAAGGTGGATCTATAATGTGCATTTCTCTGTATCATCCCTTATCAAACAGTACTTAGATTTTCAACAGGCTATTCATAAGTGGTCATGTTATACATCCATTCATTGCATTCAGAAGATCTCTACTTAGCAGACAACACATCCTATTCAGTAGGAGTAAGAACAGTGAATCTCGTAATAATAAAACAATAGCCAAGATTAAAAGAAAATCCAACTCAAGGAAATGGATACAGTGTAAAAAAAATCCTGCTGGTGGTGATAGGGTCCACAACAATTTTTACAGTTAAGAGGAGACAGAAAAACATCTATGTATCTGGTCATTATTCCATAAAATGCGTCCACGCTGTGTTATGCAGAACATGACAAACATGCAAAGAGATATTCACATCAGCAGCTTATCACTGAAAGGGTTTTCTTAGCATCTCTCTGTGGGGCACACAAGCAGCTGTACTGTGTCTGTGGCCATTGTGCACAAGCTACTTTCTTGTCTCATGAGAACTGGTTGCTGGATTTAATTCTTCGAAGGACTTATCTATGCCCTATTATTAAAAATGAATAAACAAAAAACTGATTAAAGCCTGATTTAGCTTTGATTTTGCTACTGCTTCTAGGCTGCCCTTGCCCTCCTGCTCAAAAGTGCAGATGATTAAGCAGAGCACAGGTACCCAGCTCTGCCACTGGTGGCACATGGCAGGGCACCAGGGCTGGACCACCCTCTGAAAACACACTTCTCAAACAGGACATTTGATCTCATCTCCTTCTGTCCAGCTCCACAAAGACAACTGTCATCTGAGAAGCTGTGGCAGGATGTGCCTTGCAGAAGGAGATGCTGTTTCTGAACACTTGGATAGCTGCTTATCCTGCCCATGAAACAGTAACTCAAGAGGTTCAGGAGCTGCACCTTACTGAAAGGAAGTCAGTGAGCTCACTGGTGAGGAGCTCCTTGAGTTCTCCTTTACTGAGCTTGTATCTGTCTCCTTCTTTGCCAGAGTAGTGATGGAAAATCCTGATCAAGGTGACCATTGCGTCCTCCAGCGGTGTGGACATAACAGTGAGCAGGAGAGCTGCAGGGCAAAGACCCAGAGTCAGTGACATTGCACAGGAGCCAAACCAAAGGCCAGTCTCAGGGAAGTGTTGGAGAGCTAGCTCAAGAGAGAAGCTGTTACTGGTACTGAAAAAATGGGTTTTCAGTTGATCCATCCTGTCAGCTGTGTGTGAGCAAGGCTAGACTGTTATAAAATAAAACATTGCCCTGAACTCACTAGCAACTATTTCGAAAAGGTAAACAGAAAAGAATGCCTTTATTTAAGAAAGTGATCTACTGTGCATCCATTTTGCAAAGCTGCTGTAAAAGGAAATCTCTCATACACCAAACCGAAAACATGGAAAATGAAGGCACACCCTCCTACCCATTCATTCAAAAGTTTTCTCAAGAAAATGAGATCAACAAATAACTGTGGCCAAGTTATGACCTGGGATGCACATTTATACAGAAGGCTCCACACCAGTTTCTTAGGTTGTTAGAGGGAAGTCACCAGTAGTAACGATAGAAGCATCAGCTTTCAATTTATTCAGTCATGTTTGCTTGGGCTTACCTTTTTATCCTGTAAATTACCTGGAATAAACAAATCTGAGCTAGGCAGCTCCGAGGGTTTGCTTCGTCGAGCATGCAGTAAGAAGGTACACAGGGAAGCACCACCAAGAAAAAAGATGGAAATGCAATTAGTTGTTGAGTAGCTGACTCAAAAAATAGCTAAAAATAGGAATCAGGTGAAAGGGAAATATTATGCTGATTAAACCCCAGGAGAGACATTAAAAATCCAGAATTAAATTCAAGGTAAGACTGGAGTCCTGAACAATATCACCGTGCAAAGGCTAAGACTTACCTGCTTTACAGGCTAGCTGAGGTGTATGCAAGAAAATATATCACAGAAGGCAATGGTCACCTTCCTTTCAAAACCCCTGCAGAGGCTCTTGTCTGTCAGGAAGAGAGGGTGGATTACACAAATAGAGACAGACGTATAATTGTCACAAGGATGACGGGGCTTCTGTTTCCCTCTGCATTTGCCTACTCTGTTCAGTAAAAGCTGCTTACTGTAAATGGGTCACTAAAATGTTCACTAGGCAGAGCAGAGGGCTGTGTGTGGACCATACAAGATATTTTTTATCACGTGACCTCTTACAAATATGCCCATCCAGGGGCCTGAAGATCAAAATTAGAAAATGCCAACAATCGCTGAGTCAGTATAAAACAACTTTCTCCCATTTTCAAAAGAACTCTTTCTAATCTGTCTCTCTGAGCTTCTACAGCTGAGAGTCTAAATGCCTCGGCACTGGCAGCCAGTGTTCAAAGATACTTGGGTACCTAGGGGTAGGCTTATAGGCAAGTTTGCCACAAATCCCTTGAGACATCTACCTTTATTGTCAGATGTCTCTGTAAGCCTAAAACATTAGCTCTTGCTGAATGAAATTCTTGCTGTGGTACATGTGTCCTCAGGAGGAAATGAGGAAACCAGTTTCAGAGGAAGGTGTGCCTGAAATTATAGTGTGCGCTGATCAACAGGCTTGGCTTTATTTTTATTAGTCCTGCACAACAACTGCAGTTCAACATCTCTCTTTTAATAAATGATCTTCCCTCAGGAAGTCTTCCCCTGCCCCGAGCCCAGGGACTTGCTGACCCTGGGGGCGACGGCTGGCGGGCACAAGAAAGAGCAGCTTCACCATGGTAGCGCCTACTTACCACCCAAAATACCAAATAACCACACATTGCATGATGGCCACATGAAATGGAAAACTGCTTGCTTTGGGTTTGCTTTCCTTCAATAAAGCCTTCCACCGGCTGCACACGCATGTCTAGCGAGCACAACTGTGCAGATAAACAGCAAGAGGGCACACAACTGCAGCTTTTTCTCTCTTTTATTCCAGTCAGGGGGAAAGAGAATGCGATGGGCATTGTTTTCAGCTCTGAAAGCCTCCAGGCACTCGTAATTTCGAGTGCCACAGTAGATCTCAGCCCACACCTCTGCCTCCCTCCTTTGCCTCCAGACATGATGTTTCTTCCATCTGTGCCATTGCGACAAGTCTTCACAACCTGAGGGGTCCTGGCTGTGCCTCTGGGAGAAGGGGGAGGGAAGGGGGGGGCATATAAAAATGCTGGATCCCAGCGGTATATGGGAGGTCACCGTGTTTCTGAAACCGTAGGCAGGCTCTTCTGGTTAGAGGTCCCTGTGGACATGTACAATACTCCACACAGGGCGTACGCCTTCACCTCCCTTCACTGTGGTCATGAGTGCTCACCAGGGACAGGGGAGCCAAAGCTCAGGTAAATTTTAGAAAAGGTCCAGGCAGAAATCAGCCTGGAATGTTGACATGCAACAAGAGGAACCTAACGTCTCCTGGAGTCAGAGGAGAGTTGCAGAGGAGAGTTGTTCTCAATACCTTTTCTGTATTTGGGGATAGCTAATGGGTGCCCAGTTTTGTACAGAGGGAACCCCTGTACTCCAGCAAGCACAGGGATCTAGCTGGACCATATGCAGCATATGGGAGAAGAACATGGTGATATCAGGTGCAGCATAGCTCTCCCAGTCAGATCCTGGACATTTTCTGTGTCTTTGCAGGTGCTAAGAAAAAGCATGGAGTCTCTTAGGTAGCTACAGCCATGTAGGGCTATGTCTAGCCTGGGATTCACTAATGCTTATAACTATTGCTTAGAAATATTAACCAGATAAACATCAAAATACTGGGGTGTTTTTGGCATTTATTCAACAACAATTTCACTCACAATCAGAAAAAACCCATGGCTGAGCCAATACACAAGTATAAAATCCTTCTGTTTGTCTATATATTACATTGATCTTCTGGCTGATGAATATTGCAAATTAATTATCTAAGCAGAGTCTACAGGACGTACAACTTTCAGGAAGCAGGTATAAACTTTCAGAGCTGCGATCCTCAGGACAGAAGAAAGAAGGGTTTCGTCTGTCATGTCCAGGACATCAGCTCAATAATTTATACAGTGATATAATCTGTGCAGTCTCTTTCAATAGCTACTTTCACCCCAGCTAACTGTGTAAGAAACTCTCTATTCCACGCTAGTGGATTACAAGTACACAGGGGATGGCTGCACTGAGCTTGTTTGTTAAGAGGTCCATCCAATTTGCTGTGTCCATCCCTTTCTTCCCCGGCTAGTGAAATTGTGCCAGTGGCTCCAGTGACAGCAGGGATCTAACTCCTGTGAGGGCAGGTCCCAGAGGCTACCAAAAATTCATTATTATCAATCAACTGTTTCTAGTACTTCATCCAAAACTCCAGCACAATCTGGTTTTTTATGATATCTAATAGGCACTGAAGATAATTAAAGTCAACGCAGCCTGCGAACACTTCTGTATCAGGGCAAGACCTGACTCCATGTCAGTAACAATCATTCCCCCGTCAATCCTCCCCTGCACTCTGGTTTCCACCAGGCTGCACACAGGAACAGCACCAGACGTGGTTCACAGAGGGAGCAGAACTGCAGCATGACTACAGTGAAGATTGGTACCTTCCTCATTCATGACTAAACTTTGTCCATCACAACCTGCCAAATCACGGCAATGTTGGTGGGAAGGCACCTCTGGAGGCACCTAGTCCCACCTCCTGCTCAAAACGGGATGATCACCAATGCCAGACCAGGTCAGCCATGGCTTTGTCTAGTTAAATCTTGAAAACCTCCAGGGATGGATATTTCACAAGTTCTTGGGTAACCTGCTCTAGTGCTGCACTATCTCCTTGGGGAAGACATTTACCCTAATATACGGTCTGAGCATCCCAAGCTTCAGCTGTGGCCATTGGCCCTTTTTGCACTGCCTACCACTACCATAAAGAGTTTGACTTTGTTGACTATAAATTCCCTTCAAATAGTCTTGGCTGCTCACTCAAACTAAAAAATAAACTTGAAAGCAGCCTGTCTCCTGACTTGCCCAATCTAGCTCCATGTTTTAGTGTCCCTTTCACATTATCTGCTTGCCCCTTGCAGACTACTCCAGCTGTGCCCTTCTAATGAGTATTTCAATATTAAAGTGTGCACTGCAAAATCAATGGCTGTTAGAAGCAGAAGGGCAGATTTTTCACCTGGCAAGCACAAATACTCTATAGGGCTGAATTTTGCTATCTTTGCTCAAGCAGTAACAGATGCTAGGTTTACAGAATGAGTCAGCCATCTGATTTCACCAGAGGCTGCTGAGAGAGGCAGAGGTTGTTCCTTGCCCTGTAAACCTGAGAAAGGACCCAACCAGCTGTGACTGATTCCTTTAATTTTAGTTGGGGTAATGTAGAGGTACAACCAGCTGGGAGGCTCTGCGGGACTGCTCCTCCACTCCTATGTGGAAATAGGGCAGTCAGATCACAGGCAGAAAAACTTACCACTGGTCTCTTCTCCTCGAAAAACTAAGCAGTTCTGCCCTGTGTGAAGGCAGTCAGCCCTTGACATAGGTCAGCAGCCTTCTTCCTCCACAGCTGGGAAGGAGAATGTTTGGCTTCTTCACCAGGATTTTCCTTGGTCTCTTCTTGAGACAACATAACAAAAGCTGCCTTTAAGCCAGAGCAGCCTACAGAGTGACAGTCTAAGCCACAGTAAAATACTGCTCAGCTTAAGTGGGAGGATGTCATACTTAGGGCATCTGGTTTTCAACGTTTGCCAGAATGCACATGGGGAATATTTTCTCACAAATAATTATTGTGCTGGGAAAGGCAAGTCAGCCTCCCACCCGCATCCTGTCACTATTTATTTTTCCCAAACTCACACTGTTCTTGGGATGCACGTGTTTTGAATCAATGTTGTACCCGCAAAGTGGCAAAAGGTGTGATGGGAAGCAACAGGGAACACTGCAAGGCTCAGAAGGACAGATATACTATACACTAAAAAGCTTACATTAGCTTAGAGCCTAGATTAAAGAGCTTTTTAATATAGACTAAAGAGCTTATAAGAGACTTACATTTGAACCAGTATTTCTTGTTAAGTTATGATGAGCATTTCTACATTTTTAGGGTTGTTAGCATTTTCATTTGTG